GGGTGGAGCGGAGTGTGGATAGGGGCGTGTCTTTTGGGCCGGATTTACCGTCTAAGATTGCAATCTCTCGGAACAAGATTTCCAGAATCCGGGGTAAAAGGTTGTGGACTGCACTTCAACGACCGATGGAGACTACATAATAGCTGAGCCTGCTCTAACGGCCACCACACCAAAACAATCACCTCTACAAACGACCACTTTCCTTCTTTGTGTCCTTATTTTTTTCTATATTATTATAATGACACTGTTCAAGATCTCCACCTATTAAATTCAATCACTTTTCTCCTCGACAACGGGACGCCTACTTGGACAATATTGACTTATAGTTTGTTTTGTTTCTGTATTCATTCGCAGCAGTTTTGTTATTATTTTCTGGTCTCCCTGGACTTCAAATAATTGTTTAGATGATTTGGTATCTTTATACCAGTCAAATACCTTAATCGTTTCCATCTGCGTTAGCTGAATGATAGTCGACCACTCACTATCTGCGTCCTGTGCTGTAATTTGCTCTCTTCGTATATTATTAACCACAGATAATAATATGATAGGCTAAACTAAATTGGTCAAGGACCGGGCTGGTTCTCATCCCCTGAAGTCTTATCACGTGACCACGGCTCTCTCGTCTGACCAAATTGGTCACTTTCAGGTCACTGGTGAGCAGCAAGAGTCTCTCAGACACAAAATAGGTCATGGACACCAAATTAACAGGAACAGTCAGTTTCAAATGGCGATGTTGTTCTTTTCGGTTCTTGCTCTTTTCCGACGGTATTCTACTTCACAGGCAAAAAACGTCTGCCTTGCTGTTATTGTGGGATCTGGGCTGGGTTGTTGCTGTTTGTTGTTGTTGTTTTTTAAACCAGATCCAAAGTTCGGTCTTTCTTGTAGGGTGTTTCGTTAAAATTGTCAGCACGAACAGCGTTTTGTGTGCAGTCAGACTGACTTTTAGCTTGGTGAAAACAGCTTTTGCGGCACAAAGGATTATCCTTCTCCGTTTATATTTATTCTGATCCGTGTAGACTACAATGTTGTTTTGTTGGGGGGGGGGG